TTTTTTTTTTTTTTTTGCTGCAGAGGAGGGGCTAAAGCCCCTTTTGCTCCCCCCGGATCCGCCCTTGTCAGGCTCCCCTGGCAAAGGCCAGAGCGAGGTTTTTGCAAAGGAAAAACGTAGAATAACCCTCGAACACAGAAGAGGAACTGACGAACCAACAAGAAATTCTACTAAAAAGAATTAAACATACCACAAAGAGACAAAGAAAAGGAACAAAATTCATTAAAAAATGCATCTATTAAATAATACAATAAAATAAACCAATGGGATTTACTAGTGGCATATCTGAAAATTCAGTCAATTTAGAAAATCCGGAGAAAAACCCTAAAGCAAAGGAGAAAATTAACGAACAAACTACTCAAACCGAAACCTAAGTCCGGGAACTACATCTAATAATAAATAGATAACAATAATAGTAATAGATTCTATTTAGTAATCGGGTTCTTATTCATTATTTTATAAACTATATAAACTATTATAGGGCTAGTCGGCATTGATCTYCATATTTATCTGCGCTTAGTTTTAATACTAATGATCTTACGTTAGTTCTAATAATATCTTGGTAGATTGTTGACCTGTCATAATTTGAAAAGATAAATGTAATCGCACACCGTAGCACCTCTTTTGCATAAAAGCTTAAAGTTAATCAGCCATGTATTCTCCAGAGCTTTCACTGGAAGCCTTATGGTAACTGATCAATTATAACATATTTGGTTGTATTCTCTTTCACCATACTACACATTATGCCCTTATTATGCGTACTTTCTTGCGCATGCGCAAAGCCCACATTCCAAAGAAAACCATTGTTATGCAAATAGGAAACAGGTATATAATGTGAACGCCGGACAGACCAGGCCTCTCCTTTCTTTGTGCCAGCGCACAAGGTAAGCTCACGTTCCTTGCTCGTTTTACTTGATACAATTTTGTAAACGAGTTGACTATTAACGGAACTTTGTTCCTATGCCTTTATATTTCTCAGCAAGTTTGCCTGAAGAAAAATGCCGAAGACTACCGAAGAGTCTCTCCATGCAGATAATACGRTTAATSCTGACGATTTGCCGCTTCTACAAGATGACGGTCCATCTTTGTCGACCGAGCTGTTCACAGAAGAGTCGCTGTCCTTCCTACAACAGAGATTAGGAATAGATTCCATCGTGTCGGCGATAGATGATCTGTCTAACCTCGTAAAGAGATCTCAAGACGTTAAGGTTGATGAACCATCACCTAAACGTGCTCGACTGAGCTATGATCCGAGTGCCTCACTCGGCGATTTGGCAAGCGATACATTATCTGACGACGCCGAATTTGAACTCCCGCCCTCCATCTTCGATGATCAAGAGAATAAAGGTCCCAAAGTCAAAGAAGCTTTGGCGAAACGAGTAAACGAATCGTTTACTACTAAACCTATTGAAGACAAGATGAAGCCTCTGCTTCAAAAATATCACACGCCTGAGAATTGCGAACTCTTGTGCGTGCCACGGGTGAATTCACCTTTGTGGAACGAGCTTCCACACAAAGCAAAATCTGTGGACCTTGGCGTCCAAGAAATACAAAAGATGATTGTTAAAACTGGTCAAGTTTTAGTGTCTTTGGCTGAATCAGCYATAAAGGCCAAGAAGGAGAAAGAACTCCTTGAACCACAAGAGCTCCTTGGAGCCCTTTCTGATGCTCTTGCATTCATTGGGAATGCTGGTTTTCAGACATCACTCAAGCGGCGAGATTTGCTCAAGGCTTCTCTCAGCAAAGACTACCAGTCTTTGTGTTCCGCTTCTACTCCAGTTACAACTCATCTCTTCGGAGATGACTTGTCTAAGAAAGTAGACGATATTGCTAAGGCGAACAGAATTGCCGTCAAGATCACCAAGAATCCTGATACTCGAGCAAGTGGTGGAAACAGAAACCGCAATCGTCAAGGACAAGGCTCTAAGGCCGATTTTTTGTCCTCAAAGCCGGGCCCAGCCCGGCGCAACAACAATTACAACAGATTCAATCAGAACCGCTCGACGCCTCGTTACGAGAAAAAATAGTCGACAGAGTCAGACACTGCTGCTCAGAAACACAAGTAAATGATGTAAGTGTTTCTCCTTTTGCTGGTAATCTAGCTCATAAAGTCCATRAATGGTGTAAGATCACCACAGACCCTTGGATTCTACAATCTATTCAAGGTTATCGTCTTGAATTCGAGACAAAACCACGGCAATTTCGTCGTCCGGTCTCTCGACCYCTTTCTGACTCAGATCACGCTTTAATTGCCTCTGAGGTCGAAAAATTGCTCTCTAAACGAGCGATCGTTAAAACGAACCATCTTTCAGATGAGTTTATCTCGAATTTATTCTTGGTTCCCAAAAAGACAGGTGATCTTAGACCAGTCATCAATCTTAAACCACTCAATGAGT